AAAAAATCTCTCAAATGTCGGTCGTACAATTGACATATTAGGAGCAATTTCTTTTTAAAAGAATTTTGATGGAAAAATAAAAGACAATGAAAAATCCTCGATTTAGGACAACAGAGACACAATTTTAATTTTGATCTATATGTGTTATATAGGGATCATCATTGTGCGCTCAATACATTCGAAATCGTCTGAAACGATGTGGAATCTTTCATCGAAAGCTTGGATTGAAAAGGATGAGGAGTGCCATGTTGCTTCCTGGAGGAGCAGTTGTCGGGGAAGTTTATCCAGAGTTAGTGTCAGTTGGAGCTGAACTGGAGAAGATGCATCCAAATTTGTTCAATCGTGTTGCACGACAAATCGGTTGTGGTAGCTTCTCGTCGGAACAGTCTGTCAGCGAGGCCGTCGTCGATATCTCCAGGGAAATGATCAGGAACGGAGAGATGACTTGGAGTAAAGTGATAGCCCTTTACGCGGTTGCTGGTGGTATTGCTGTAGATTGCGTACGTCAGGGCAAACCTGAGTATCTACCTGCTATACAAAGAGGTAGTCTTTCGTTTAGTTGAAAGTACTGAGCATTTATCACTAAACTGTTGAAAACGTTTTTTGTTCTAGGTATGACGGATGTTTTAGAAGAGGATCTTGCTGCATGGATACAAGCTAACGGTGGATGGGTAAGGCATATATATTATGAAAGATAAAAAAAATAATAATCACATGATCTTTGATTTTGAAGCCGAAAGATGTATTGTTAATTTCAGACTGCTCTAGTAACACGATACAGACCTGCGACGAAAGAAACAACGTGGTACTCGCGAAAACTTATATTCCTGTTTCTGTTCACCATTTTATTCGTTTTCATGATCTCTGTACTTTTGAAACTTTTAATTTTATAACGCACTCTAAATATAATTGCATAAAATATAATTTACACTCTATGGTACACTTAAATGAAAACCATCGTTCAACTGAGATATTTTGAAACACAGGCTCGTTGTACTGTACTTTTATATATTTTAGTAAATAATTAGTATAAATGAGAATACTGTTGTGTTTTCAGATAGCCATTTCTTGTTCCAGTTTTTCTGTTTCGCTTTTTTGAGTTTCTACTTCTGGTAATTCAGCCTCTTCTCGTTTCGGCGAAGTCTTCTCAGCAGCTTCCTGGTGAAAACAATTTTTGTCTCACTGCTTAATAAAAAAGAAAACATAAAATTATGTGCAAGATACTCGATACTGTGCAATAGCATAAAATTGTTCAATTTACTTGTGCCTTTGCAACGTTCGTCATGTACGCAAGAAAATTCTGATTCGTTTCTTTCTTATTGATTACTTGAAGGTATCTTTCCCTTGCATTCAGCACCTCGTCCAATTGCTTTTTATGTCTGATCGCTAATTCCAATGCTCTAAATTAATGATCAACAAACTAAAAGTGGCGATGGGGTTTCAGAAAGTTTATTTTACAAATTAAAAGAGGATGGTACCTGTTCCAATTGTATACTTCAATGTTAATTCGTACGGCTTCCTCTGTTAATCCATTTTGCAAAAGTATACCTTCTGCGGTCAACAGATCTCCCGACAGAAGCGCCATTTCCGCCAATCTTTCTGTTTTATTCGGTAGACTCTAATTTCGAAGATTTCAAGTGAATAGTTTATTTACAAAATAGAAGTGTGTCCATTCTTACAATTTTATTGTTACCTTTATATACTGAATGTAATCAACTTTATCGTATCGCGAAATTGCTGCGTACGCTTCTTCCGCGGCGTTCAATTCCTTATTGTCTGTTGCCATAACAGCCATGCAAGTCCACAGTATTTCATTCTATTCAAAATAATGTATACGTATCAAAAGGAATTCACGAAAGAGAAAAGCAGATGGATATTAATTAATACCTGAGCAACTCGACAAAGAGACAGTGCTTCCTTCCATCTTTTGTTCAGTATATGTTGATGAAGACTAATGAAAAATGTATAAAAGGAAGAGGCTACTAACGCTCCATCGCCACGACGTACCATTACCACCCCATTGTAAACGTTAGCTATATTTGGTTGCTTACCAAACTCGCTAGAACCATCGGTACAGTGTTATTGAGAAACAACGAATCGCATCTTTTGCAATAGAGTTAAGAAGATAAGACCTGCTTTCTTTGTCGATCCTTGTCTTTCGTATAATTTTACGATCGCTATAGTGCACGCAATTAGGGCACAACCATACAGATAACGTCGCATCCAACATCGCTGCTAAAACATTCGCATCAGTCGCCCATGCAATATCCTGTGCCATAGCAGCTACAAAACAAATGAAAAGAAAAAAACAGTAGTGACATTGCTGACATATTCGTCGGATGAAAATCGTTTTCAAACATTACGCGTACCTATTTTGCATACTCTGCCAAAACCAGGGATTCGTATAGAGACCAGAAACAAATCTTTATTTACATCGATTAATGCTACTTGTCGGTCAGTTATCCCACCGATATAATTCAATGCTAATCTTGTAATACTTTGAAGATGCGTGTAACTTTGACTCTCAATTATAGGTTTATTGTAAGCCACTTCCAGCACATGAAGAACTGAAAAAATAATTCTTGTAATATTCTTTACATACTTGTAATCTTCTCTTCTGATTGAAAAACCTTCGTCGTACGTTTCTCGTTACTTTGCGATCGTACAACTAAAGTATCGGAACAGAGCGACACGCAAGGCGGATAAAGTCGTTCCTGCGTCATTCCTTTCCATTTCGGGGTTCCTAATAAACGGCCTTGGTAACTGTACAACGATACGCTATTCCATTCAACTAACAAAAAGTGTCTGTAACATAATGCTTTTATAAATATTTCGTTTCTCTCTTTTCTTTTTTGATAGTTTGTTATTTTGTCGAATAGTTAATATATATATATATATATTAGTATATATATACTTATTATATAGTATATATATTATTATATAGTATATACATATACTAGTATATACATATACTTATACAGTATATATATACTTATACATATATACTATATATATACTTTTATATAAAGTATATATAAGTATATATATACTTATATATATATACTTTTATATAAAGTATATATAAGTATATATACTTATATATATACTTTATATATACTTTGTCATTTTGTCGAATAGTTAATATATATATTAGTATATATATACTAATATATAGTATATATACTTATACATATATATACTTATACTATATATACTTATATATATACATTATATTATATATACTTTTCTGCGAGCAGCACCGCCGACACACTGGTGTTTTTTAAATCGAATATAGCTGGAGTATTCCAATTTACTACTGAGTAAACGTGACACTGCGCGGGTGTAATCACGACTAAATAGTCGAAACCAAATTCCAGCTGAACCACGCGATCCGATATATCCAGCGTTTCTCGTATCTCATTACCCACGTCCCTGACTTCGATCACTTTTCTTTTGACCAACGTGACTTCGTAGTTATTCCACTCCAATCTCCTATTTATATTAATTATGCAAGTGTTTAAATATATACTTGTATATCATGTAATATTTTGCTTCCTATGTTCTTTTTATACCTGTCTATTATATGTCCTGTTAACACAGTTCCATTGCTACAAGCCATAGCTACTTGAGTGCTATCACTTGACCAAGCGATGCTGTATATGCTTCCAGAATTTACTTTTTCCAACGAATGAGACCACTGGAAGTGTATGCATGCCAGTAAAAAAAAAAAAAAAAAGAAGAAGTACATGAATAAATATGTAATATAAACCAACTCCTGTTTTATCACAAAGTTTGACTGTGTTGAATGATCCGACAGCAAAGTAGTTGCCAGAGAAACTCCAGTTCACTGCTGTAATAGGATGATCTTCGACACTGCTAGAAAATAGCTGGGTGCCATTAGAATCCCATACCTTAAATGGAAATTTAATTTCTTCACTGATTCTTTCATACAGTTTCTTCTCAAACTTTCCACACATTTTACCTTGTACCTACAATCTTCCCCGCCAGAAATGATCAGTCCATGAGTATGACTCCAACATAAAACCAGAATCAGGCCATCATGGGCCAACAACTTGAAGCAAAATATTTGTTCAAGCAATATCTTTTTCTTTGATTGACCAAATAATATGTAAGTTTGTTAAATAAATCGTTTAACCTTTCGAGGTTTGGAGTTCGAATTAAGCGACTGGAAAGTTAAATGAGCTCCCTGGGAATATAACACTGTTGTACAATCTGAACTCCAGGCAGCAGACAATATGGGGAACATGCCTTTAACAACAACAGAACGAAGCATGCCGCTACGCGACCATACCTTTATCAAGCCATCCTCACCAGCTAGAGTTATGACAAGTTAAAAATTAATCGAACAATGATTATTTCAATAACTAACTCTAAAATTAGTTTCAACTACCAGTCAAGAGCGCAGAGCCGTCACTACTCCATCTGCCTACTGTTGTTGCTCCCTTATGAGCATCTATGCTTTTTTCTATACGTCCATTTTTGTTAACTAAATGATATTTTCCTACAACAAAGCAGTACCAAAGCAAAGACGTACCAATGAATGAAACTACAACGTAAATGGTATTACAGATTTAATAAAAGTGATTACCATCGGCTGTAGTAATTAACAGGACATCCAATGATTGTTTTTTCATAATTAGCGTGGCATAATTCGGCCTTGGGTGCCATTGCATATCTGTCGGATAGAAGTCATCGGGAAATTCTGTAACAACACTGGAATGCGCGATTCCACCTTCTAAATGCCACAATATCAATAAATGATCCTCTCTGAAAACATGATCGTTTGAATTGTATGTACTTTTTCTCATAAAAACACGGATATCTTACCCGCATGAATAAATCTCCTCTGCCGAGCTCCATGCCACGCAAGTTACCAAACGCTTGTGACCATTACGACTTTGCGCAGATATTTTAAATCTCATCTTTACACCTGTCTGTCACCTTGACTCGTGCCTACGTAAATGTCCAAATATGTCGTTCGTAGCTTCATGTAAAATTACCATGCGCCTAACGTTGGGCAGCGTGAACATCCTATGTACAAGTTCGATCGCCTGCTTGGGCGGACCTTGGAGTTCCAGCAATTTGTTGACACCACAGTTACCATAGAAACTGGCATACCTACGACAGTAAAATAACAATTTTTATTATTCATCAAGTATTATTCATTAACGAATCGATATGAGGTGAAATCGTTAATTTCCAACAGAATGAGAACTCATCGGGTTAAACCCAATTTTACACACGTTTATTAAAGCTTTCCTCAATACAATTCATTAATCTTCGTTAGCACAACCTCACAGTCTTCCTCACGGTACAAATAAATTCACGAAGCTTGTGGCGAATCCTTGTGCGGATGCCGACACCCGGACTTCACAACCTTTTTTCCATTCTCACTTTTATAAACGATGGTGCCCTCACATTGTTACAAACATCTCTTTTTTTTTTTT